ATCTTTTTTTGTTTAATTCAACTTTCAATTTTTAATTTTTCTTTTTAATCAAAATCTAGCCAAAAGTGAATTCAATTTGTTATTGTTAATCTTAATCTCAAAAAGGATTCCATGTAAGATTTGAAATTACGTTTTCGTTACTGTTCATTTTTTGTTGAAGCCCAATTTGAGTGAGTAATTTCTTTAATATGTTACTATTCATAAACATTCTTGAGCCCATAAAGTGTTTTTGGATCAAATATCTTAAAAATGTGAGCCCAAATTACTTGTTAAATCGATTCAATATATATCGTTGTTGTACGTCATTCGTCATCGTCTTTTGCTTTATAAGTTGTACATTTCGGATGATTATATCTTGATTCTTGATCATCTTGTGTGTCGATTTCGTGTATAAATTATTTTGAAAATCAATCAATGTTATTAGTGATTCTAAACTTGTGAATCAATTAGATTTGATTTGTTCCATTACATATCGATTTGGATCAAGTTAAAAAAGGGAAATCTTCAATTGATCATTTGATTTGGATGAATATGGTCAAGAACACTTGAATATGGTGAAGAACAGTGGTATAACCACTTTTTAAACTGAAATTTGGTATTAGAATCATCAATTTCATGTTTGTTGATCTTTGACTTTGAAAAGTCAAACTTAAATGAAGTCAAACTCAGATTTTCAAGGGTGATTCTTTGCATTGATGGTTGAAATTGATTTGTACAAGTTGTATTTGGATTGTGGATGTCAAAAGCAAGCTTGATTTGGGCTTTAATTTAGAAATTGGTTATGGTCTTGTGTTTGACATCGAAGGCTGAGACATGAGTTTTGTTCGATACTTGATCAATGATTTGGAAATCGAAGGTCATAAAGGAAATAAAAGGAATTGATTTGAGAAGAGTTTTTGATTTGGTGAACGACTGGCTGAAATCGAAATATTGATGTTATGTTTCATTTGATAGCGAAGGTCAAGAAATTTCGTTATGTAAGGATTTTTTATGACTTGATAATATCGACATCGATTGAGAAGGAAGATTGGGTATATTAGCGTGATAACAAATTTTGAGTGTTAATTGGGAAGTTTGGAGTTTCAATTTTGGTTGTTAAATAGCCAATTGGTCGAACTCGGTTTACAAATGATCGAATGGTTGAAGTCTTTGAGACCGAAGAATTGGAATTGGGAAGTCGATTCGAATGTTTGGTACAAATGATTGATTGGGAAGGCTTGGTAACGAAGGTTATGGCTTGGCAACAAAGGTTGGGTTGACGGTCAAACAACCTTCAAAATGGGTCAATTGAGTTAGAGGTGCGAAGGTACCTTTGCTATTGTACTAGTCGCAGCGAACATACCTTCACATATGAGACCTTCGAAGTGCAGTGAAGATGGAACAAAACTTGTTGATTCGAATCCCTCAACTTTCAATGAAATAACATTTTTCACCCACCTTCGAAATGGGGACAAAAACTGTGAAAATGGTGTTAATCGATGAATTTCCATTTCGAATGCCTGCAGTTTTCGCAAGTTGGCAGAATTTACCCAATTTTGACATTGGTCTGAAAATTATGAGAAATGGGAATATTTCCGAAACAGGTCCCTGCAGTTAATGCAAATTATCACTTTATGCTCAGATTCGCAATTGGGGTAAAGTTTCGCATCTTAGTCTACCCAAATTTGTGAAATTTCGTCAAAAGCGGTCCGTGAACGAATTCGAAAATTGGAATTTTTTGGATTTTCTGGATTTTTGCAAAATGATTATGCCATGTGTTATGGGGAATTTTCGATAGAAAAATTATGAAATGAGCGCTTTCTCATTCCTTTTTGGGTTTATAATCATTTTTCAATTATAAAAAAGGGGGAGAGAATTAAATATGAGAATTCGAAAATTGAATTTTTCATATTACGCAGACTTGAATACCGAAGTGACCATTGAGCAATGAAGTTTATGAAGTGATTCGATTTGAGATTCAGTAGTAACTGGTTCATGATGGGTTTGGACTTGTTAAAGATTTTTTGGGGTGTGCTTTTATGCTCAAAGTTTTGTAATCTTGTGGAGGTTTGGATACTCTTAATTGCCTTTTGATGCTCGGTTTGTACGATCTCACACTCTAGAACCCAGATTGGAAGGTCATTGAATAATTGAAGATTTGAAGTTCATTTCTACATGTGTCACAGTTAAGGCTTGGTTCGTGAAGTTGCTCAATTTGGGAAGATTGAAGCGGGTCATCCATTCCTAACGCTGACGAAGGGGGGGGGGATGTTGGGGTGCAAAGTTATGCATATATGACTTTGTATTGGTTTGACTCTTGTAGTCCCACTTGCATGTGGTAGTATAGCCTTGTGACATGAGAGATATATAGAGAGACATGTAAACACCTCTATATAAAGTGGGTTTCATACCACTTGTAGAGGTGTGCTTGAGAGATGTAACATTGAGAGTGTTAGTGTTAGCTATTTTTTTTGTCTAGGTCTAGCTTATAATTTTTTTTGTAAGACGTTCCATGATCGAATACATCTCTTCGACACCTAAATAACCATTTTCTTTGTGTTTATTTTAATTTTGCATGCCAAATCAATGTTCTTAATTCTCATCAAATATCAACAATGATTGCGGGTTTGCAAGTCAGCGTAACTGATGAATCAAAAAACCTTGTCATGCTGCAAATATGAAATTTTCATAAGTTTAAATCCTATTCTAGAACGAAACCTGACAAACAATATGTACATGTTGTTCGTATTTTGAATGTTCTACGTGTTTCGGACAAGTTCCTCATATTTCAAAATATTTCGAAATGGTTTGTTTTTCTAGAATACACTTTTTTGATGTATATTACCCTAATATAAGTTATTAACCTAGTTTTAGGTTGGTCCTAAATGTAATGCTAACATGATTGCAAGTCTGAAACGTGTTCTTTGTATTCCAGACTATGTTATTCTTATTTCAGACTAAGAACAATAATATTAAATTAAAGAACTAAAACTATACGAGTAAAGGAATTACCAGTAAAACAACCAGGTCATCATGATCGTGTTCCATATCTTACTTCAAAATGTTTAGTATTGCTCGGAATGTATCAGAATATAATCCGGAAGGCTGTTTTGTAATTGAAATCTAGAATGAACTTCAGAATGGCTCATTCCAGAAACGATGGTTATTTTTCAATATATATATATATATATATATATATATATATATATATATATATATATATATATGTATGTATTGTAGGGTTTCTATACATCAAATACACTTCAAACTAGGTAGCAGAAAAATCAACTATGATATACCTAAGTGTACATGCAACCTATGGATCTATGGATTTATACTAATTACAGCTACCCTAGAAATCATAAATACCTAGGATGACTCACATACCTCTTTTGCAGTCAAAGAACTTCACGCTTGAGTTCTCGTGCATGCCACCTTGTTTGGATGTAAAGGACCCAAACCGGAAAACCTCTCTCGGTTTACACCTAATGAAATCAAAAGAGTAGAATAAAAAACAACTAGGAGAAGAGAAACTATATGGAGAGTTCGTCTAGAAGGAGGGAGAAAGAAGAGGCGAAAGTTCAAGCCTTCGAATGAGCAAGGAAGAATGAATCGCTAAGGCCCTATTTATATCCTTGGATATCTTCTAGGGTTGTATCCTTCAGCCCATGTGCGATGGGATAAACCTTGACACTACTAGAAAACAGCCATTTAATGACACGCAAACAATGACACTCGCTGATAGAAGACGCGTATTTGTGCGTGCCTTAAAAAATAATGTCAATTTTGCAAAATTTGAAGGATAGAGGACACGCATTTGTGTGTGCCCTAAAATTAGTGTCAGAAAGGAAAAAAAAGGAAATGCGGAGGGCGCCTTTCATAAAATATGCGTCGTCTAAATGTGTCGCTTTATAACATTTTAATGAAACACGCGTTTTTAAGGCGGGATTTCACCCGCCTATTGAATCCTAAAAATTAAACCCCCCGTCTCTTCCAATTAGCAAGAAAAAGCCCTAGGCCTTCGTCTTCATAGTAGCATCGCACCACCATCCAACCTCCGATCTCGCACCGCCAAGTGTCTCCGACCATCTTCTCCAACCATTCTTTCCTGTCGCACTACACCGATAACAAAAGACCCATCACTATTTTAAACCATCCGTGATACGCATCCTCACCCTTTCATCTAGATCTTCATTCTCTGTAAAAACCCTTCTACGATCAATGATCGAATTGCACTCCCAAAAATTACAGAATGAAATCCCAAAAGAATTATAAAAAATCCCGCTACTAAGAAACACCCCAAGCAACCGGTGGTATTATCCCTAAAATTTATGGATTCTCTCATGCGATTTTAGCGATTTTCGTTTCCCCCCTATTTTTTTTTGGCATCGATCACTTCTTAGGCGGTCGTTAGCCTTCAATTTTATTGTATCTGGTTTCCCTTATTCTCCTCCACCTCTGTTTCCATCTTTCATCTTCAAGTTCTTCTCATTAATGATTCAGACGATTCATATGATTCCAGGTCAAGGAGGAGGAAGAAGAGCTATCGTTCAAGTTCTAGGATTAGAAGCAGGAAATCGAAGAAAGAACCATATGGCCCAAACTCCCTTACTAATACTGGATCTTTGCAAGAACCACAAAGGTATATTCTAAATACATTTCCATTATATATATATATATAGATATATATATATATATATATATATATATATATATATATATATATATATATATAATACAGTTTAGTGTTTTCTTCTAGTGTAAAGATGATTTATCTTCTATCTTTTACATGCTATATGATCCTCGCATACCCGAGTTAGAAAAATTTATGCACAAGGATTTGTTCTTCCCTTCTAACAAATTCTCGGATCCAGAAACTTTGGAGATGCTAGTTACCCTTGGACTAAAGCAAACCCGAGGCATCCAGGTTTTTCTTGATTCTGCTAAATCGGTGTCTATGTTGCATGATAAAATTGAACCAGAGGTTACTGTAATTGGAAAGAGACTACTTGGTTGTTTACATGCATTGGCACTCAAAGTTTTCAACTGAGGAAGTTGAATTCAGTTTTAATGAGTTTGGGCCATATGATGAAGCAGATAACTACTCAAGAAACACTCCTGATGCGTTTCATGAAGATTATGTAGGCAAGTTGTTCGATGAAATGCCAGGAGACGAGTTTTGGTCTGAACTAAAAGCCATCAGATGGTATCCTGCATCTGTTGACCCACCTTTAACTGGACTTCCATGGTTAGTGCCAGATAATACATGTACACACATAATACATGTACATAGATGGTATCTTGTTTGGTTTTCCACTTGTTTTTTTAGTTTGCAATTGTACACACATATAACTATACATACATGCATATGTATACATACATATATAGATAGAAATACATGTATGTATGCATATAGTTACATGTATGTATGCATCTATGTATGTCTACAGATAAGTTGACATGGGAATTCCTATATGCTTCCCTCACGCATGTGTGCCTCCTTGTCATTTTTTGGCTATTTCAATAAAAAAAATTAATTTTTTGGATATATAATAGACATGATCAGACTTGCTTGATGAATGCAGTTCTCAAATGTAGGCTCTCTTGAACTTCATGGATTTGCTAGAAACAGATTATGGAGTGTTGACAATGACCCCCCTCCCTTCCCCACTAATCCCACAAATAGAGTTTTCATTGACTTGATCTTCAAGTCCACTGAGGATGATTTGAAGACATGGTGTCACAGGTGACCTTAATTTTATAGGGGTTTGGAATCCATGGGATAAGAAGGCGAAGGCTATGCCTGATTTTGAAGATGATGAATACAAGCATATTCTTTGTGTGGAGGCTGCAGCAGTGGAATACCCAATTACGTTGAAACTTAGAGAGAAATGGAAAGGGAGGCAACAACTTTTGGTTGTTCCTTCAAGCTATTGCAGTGGGAAGCTTGACCCCCACATAGTTTGTTAAATCACTTGAAGGAAAATCGGATGTTTGTGTTGATTAATATCATCATGTACATGTAAAACATTTTTAGCATCTTCTTAATTACAAGCACAAACATTAACTTTCATATTTCCATGTCAGCATTTGCTTTCATCTTCCATGGATAAAACTATGCGATTATGGCAACTGTCCAGCAAATCTTGTTTGAAGTTCTTTTCTCACAGTGATTATGGTAAGGAATCTATTAAGTAAAACAACTCATGTGCGTGTATGTTGTTGGTATTTAGGGACAAGTTTATAACTTTTTTTTATTTGTTATTGTGGTTGAATGTTGATATATAGTGACTTGCATACAGTTTAATTCTGTTGGCGATAGATACTTCATTAGTGGATCTTTAGATGCAAAAGTTCGCATATGGAGTATGCCTAATAGACAAGTTGTTGATCGGAATGATTTGCATGAAATGGTCACTGCTGCTTGCTATACACCAGATGGTCAGGTTGTCACCCATACATTATTATATATTTCTATTTTTTTTCAAAGTTTAATAAAAAATATTAAAATAATCAATTAAAGAAATAACACATTAGTAGGCCTCATGCATACACATATATTTGGTGGCAGATAATGGAAAGTCACATGCATGTGTGTGAATTTCAGTAACAATTTAAATTATAAACTAAAGTTATAGAACTTATTTATAACAATTATGGACCTCAAAGATTGTCACACCCCAAAACCAAGGACAGCGGAAACGTTCTGGGGTGGAGGACGTCATGTAAAGTATCACAACAGTGTAAAGTAGTAAACAAGCAACAACATCATCCATTCCATTAATAGTAAAATTTTAATACATGTGAGTTCTTTCATAGTATACAATATGATAATAAGAAATCGGAAATAAATGACTTGTCTTAATCGCTCCGTCTTCTCAAAACCTGGTCATCGTACCTGTCTACTGGTGACCTGAGAATACAAGTTATTTTGAAAGCGAGTATCAACTTTAAAGCTGGTGAGAACATAAGTATTTAAGTGTCATTGATTTGTAAAACTATAAAGAAAAGACTTGAAATTGTTATATGAAAACTTGGTATAAGTATGAAAAACCCTAGAAAATCCCATATTTCCTACTAGTATAAAAAGCAGTCTTCTACCAAGACCCGACTGTTTTGAAGATTTGCGCCTCTGTAAAAATGGAGGTTTTTCCCCTAGTATAACTATTATTATCTAAATATAGCTATACATAAACCTGTAAGTGATAAAATCACAAAGTAACTGTAATAGGGAAAATAATATTTTACCTCAGCAGTGACACTGGTGACTATGAAGTGAATAAAACATAGACTCAATGAATGAAGTGTAGACTCCAGGTGGTATCGAATGAACGACATGCGTCGAAAAGTCTAAATGAATGAAGTGTAGACTCCAGGTGGTATCGAATGAACAAAACGCCTTGAAAAGTCTAAATGAATGAAGTGTAGACTCCAGGTGGTATCGAATGAATGACACGCCTCGAAAAGTATAAATGAATGAAGTGTAGACTCCAGGTGGTATCGAGTGAACGATACGCCTCGAAAAGTCTAAATTGGCCTTTAATTCTTAATTGGATAAATAAAGGATTTGAATGTGAACTCGTATGTAACCATGCTGATCGACGCTGAATAATTAATGACCCTCCAGGTCATATATAGTGAGGTGACATTTTGTCACCCCTGGGCCTTATCGGCTCGGACTGTAGCTAGCATTCGGGATGTGGGAGTGTCTGTCCCGTATAGATCTATACACATAATGCCCGCTCTCCCTCCAGGAGACTCTGGTTACAGGGTGATACCACAATGAAGTGTCGTATCGAGAAGTAGTATGTCACATTCTATTTATAGTATTTAAATATTTGTATAGACTCATGAATGAACTGACTCTTGTGTAATTCCTTGTACTAGAAATAGTAAATAGTATCTCCTAACTATACCCTTAATAGTTACTAGTAATATATGTATATGAATAATGGAAGGATGCCTTTGCTACCCAATGGTACTGAACTGACTGATAGAACTTTTATGTCTATATATGTATACATAATACATAACTAATATTTAGATGACCTTCGGACAAATAACATGATACCCTAAGTCCACACCCAAACAAGGAACAGGAAATAAGGCGGGTTAGCAGTCCTAAGTCCTTTAAACATTACTTATATAACTATACATATAGAGGCATGCAATTAATAATAAAAGTTTAAAGAAGTTTTGTAAAACATTAGGAAAGTTTAATAAGAAGAATTGATGACTTGATGTCAATTTATAAAACAATTAAAAAGCAGTTTGTTTGATATAAACAGTTTAAAGTATAAGATATCCCTTATTTGGAACACAGTTTGAGTACATGAAAACATTTGCTTGAAACTTAGTCATAATAGAATTTCAAAGGAAAGATGTAGTTTAGAAAACAAGTTTGATGAAGAGTTCAACGTGTAAAAGCATTCGAGAATTCATTTTGAAGTAGTTTGCTTGGTAAAACATCTAAAAGTGTAGTAACTCCATAGTTTGATAGTTATTAATCACATGTGATTGATATGATAACTATCATGATTCAACTTGTATTCCCCCCCATAAAAGCATTTAAAAACATTTAAAAGGTTAATTAAGGGGTATGAACTCACCTGTTTTGAGTAACTCGAATGGAAGATCGATATAGGATCGTTGGGTGTCAAATGGAGTCTCGAGCACAAACGAATCCTATTTAACATATAATTACACATATATGAATACATTAATGTATATAAATAACTAATGGTGATAGGGACATGCCTTAAGGACATGAAAACACTTAGAATTAAGTGTTACAAACACCTATGGAAGTCCCTAAATGAGTGTAGGGTCTTAGATTTGAGTGTAAGGCCACCAAACTCAACTTTTATGTGTGTGCGGCCAGAGTGTGCGGCCAGGCCTGTGTGCGGCCGTACACTCCCATAGGAATGTGTCCAAATCGATTTTCCAAGAGTTTGTCATGATCCTAAGAAGGTGTTTTGGCCATTGCTTAGCCGGATTGAGAGTTTGTTGCTATTTTGGACCCTTAAAAGGGTGCGTGCGGTCACACTTGGTGTGTGCGGCCAAGTGTGTGTGGCCATGGTGTGTGCAGTCGCACACTCCTAGCAAAAATGGTCCAAAACGTGTTTCTAAGTTCGTATCTTGTTTCCCCTAAGTGTCCTTGATCATGTGCTAGAATACTGTTGGATTAATGTCTAAGTCTGTATCTATATTTGGTATGTACTTGACCCGACCCGGCATGGTCCATTTGGGTTGCACTTCACCGGTACAATTTATATGGATAATCTTTTGAGAATAGTATATTTATGATTATATTAATATATTATAAGTTCTAATATATTAATATGGAATCATATTATTTAATTAGTATTGATCAAGACTTAATTTAGAATTAATTAAGTGATCAAAATGAACTAATTAAATATGGACTCTTATATATATATGGAATGGGCCAAGTTCATTTAGGTTGGGCTAACCTTTCATGGATAGTCCATGGAGTGTTTAACCTATGGATCATATGAAATGAAAGGTCATGGGTTTAACCCTAGTCTCCACACTATATAAAGATGTCCTTGGTTGGTGAAATTGACACTAGTGTGGGTACACTAAGAGGGCTAGCCGATTTCACTAGAGAGAACCTAAAGTATTCTTATTCTCCAAGTCTTCCAAGGTGTTTTGGTGATTTGTGATTCCACTTGAGGCTTCCACACTATTGGGGCTAAGCTCTTAAAGCTTGAAGACATCAAGCTACACCAAAAGGTATGTTATCTAACTAGTCTTTGTAGTATAGTTACCTCATAGTATGCTAGTTAGGATTAAAGCCTTGGAAAGTTCTTATTTGCATGTATAATAGAGAAAACATAGATCCATGGTTTATAGGGTTGCATGTACACCATAGGAGTGTTAGAATGCTCAAAACCCAACAGTGGTATCAGAGCCTAGGCTTGTTTTCTTGTTACACTTGCAAAAACTGCTTAAAAATCGAGTTTTTATGCTGTCTGCTCAGCAGACTCGCCGAGTCCATAAAGGGACTCGCCGAGTCCAAGACAAAATGCATCCAAGTCACCGAGTTCGTTCGTGCACTCGATGAGTTGGACCCCCAGACAACATATATTCGATTGTTTTGGCTGGAATTGGAGTAGGAACATTACCCTAAGATGTTTTTGGACTTATAAACTTGTTTTTGATGGGTAATGTTCATGCTAATCCAATTTCAAAATAATTGTCATAGATTCATGTGTTTGTATTAGTTTAATTGTTAGACTAATTACATGAAAAAGTTTGATTTGAATTATCTTGTTCTTATGAGTTGCTTAGATTAATAGAAAGGTTAAGTGATTATGTGTTTTCAATCCATTGTTATCTAAGAGTTGATTCTAAATCTGTTTTTTTGTAACTTGTCCTCAAGTTATATGAAAAGTCACATTTAAGTTTCTTAAAACTCATAAAATTGTCATAGGTTACAAAATGAAGAGTCTTGTTCTCGTTAAATGGTTTTATGACTCCATAACTTGTCCTCAAGTTGTGGAGGTTCAAGAGTCTCTTCATTAAATAAAATATGTGTAACCTTAGTTAAACTCATAAAGCTTCCATAAGTTATGACTTATGAAGAGTCACTTTCTTAATTAGTTTAAAGTCTTCCATAACTTGTCCTCAAGTTATGGAACTTGAAGAGTTTTTTTTTAATTAAACTACTTTAAACACATAAGTTATGGAATAGAAAAGTTTTGAAGGTTACAAAACTTGCCCTCAAGTTTTGGAATTTGAAAAGTTTTCTCTTATGAATACTTTAATTACAAGTTTAGCCCTTAGAATTTTAAAATTTAAAATTCAACCCTTATACTTATAATATTTATAAGTTAATAATATATATATAAATAGTATAAGAGCAAGTCAGTCATACCGTTTAGTAGGCCTCATTCACGAAGCCGGTCTATAAGGGGGGGGTATAAGGTTTACTACTGCCTATAAAA